GCGCCGTGGGCCCCAACATCCTCAAGTTCATCGCTCCCGTGATTGCCAAGGGAATCGACGCCCGTACCGACGCCACACCGCTGGCCGTCATCGCCTGTGAGAACGCCATCGGTGCCACTGACACTCTACACCAGTTCATCAAAGACAACACCGCCCAAGACCGTATCGGCTCTATGCCAGACCGAGCCCGGTTTGCCAACTCTGCCATCGACCGTATTGTACCTGGTCAGGCCCCTGACAGTGGTCTGAACGTGCGCATCGAGAAGTTCTACGAATGGGCCGTGGAGTCCACACCTTTCGGCGAATTTGGTCACCCAGAAATCCCAGCTATCCACTGGGTTAGCCACCTGGAGCCTTACATTGAGCGCAAGTTGTTCACCGTCAACACCGGTCACGCTACTGTAGCCTACCATGGCTACAATGCCGGCAAGAAGACCATTGCCGAAGCTCTCCAGGACTCTCGTATCCGCAACATTGTCCGTGATGTGCTTCAAGAGACTGCCTCTCTCATCATTGACAAACATGAAATCAGCGCCGCTGAGCAGCAAGAGTACGTCGAGACCATCATCACCCGAATCTCTAACCCCTACCTCGAGGATACCGTGGAGCGCGTGGGTCGTGCCCCAATGCGCAAAGTGTCCCGCAAAGAGCGATTCATCGGCCCAGCGGCACAGCTGGCTGAGCGTGGTGGAAAGTTCGAGTCATTGATGGGTTCCCTTGAAATGGCTCTGCGATTCCAGAATGTGGAAGGTGACGAGGAGAGTGTGGAGCTGGCCAAGATCCTTAAGGAGAACGCTCCGGCTGATGCTGCTATCCGATTGACCGGCTTGGACCGAGACCACCCTCTCTTCCCCCATGTGGTCAAGGTCGTGGACGGCGTACAATCCGACACAAAGTAGGCACCTCTTCCTTACGCCAGCCTCACAACATCCTAACATCACCTTTTCAGAGAGGCAGGGCAACCGCACATTTGATTTCGCTTTGTCTGAAATTCAAGTTGCATGGAATATCGCGAATACCAGGTACACGGCGCGACGGGAGTAATGGGATCAGTGTTTTTATGAATTTTACGTGTAGTATGAATAGCGAATGGATCAACCAATATCTCTTTTTTTTCTCAATTCTTTCTACTATCTTGACTCTTAAAAAAAAGTAACCTCACAACTTACTATCGACCCAAACAGGCTTCCTCTTCTCCACGAAAGCCCTAAGCCCCTCCTTAATATTCTCCCCCTCATACAACCTCTTAACCCAAGTCTCATTCAACATTGCCGTAGCCTCATCCGCCCCAATCCCCTCCCATCCCAACTTAACACCTTCCCGACTAACAAGCACCGAATCAGGGCTATTCCCCGCAATTTCCCCAGCAACCCCCAAAGCCTTCTCCAAAACAGCCCGACCAACCTCCTCCTCCCCATCCTTTTCCCCAACCCCAACAACAGAATTAACAAGCCCCCATCTCTCCGCCTCAACAGCCCCAACCATCCGCCCCGTAAGAACCATCTCCATAGCCCGCTGTTTTCCAACAGTCCGAACAAGTCGCGGTAACGCACCGGCAAGAGCAACAACCCCGCGCTTCACCTCCGGTAACCCAAATACCGCTCGTGATGACGCAATCACAATATCGCTGTTGATGATCATCTCTGCGCCACCGCCGAGACAGATACCGTTCACTGCGCATATCACGGGTTTCTTGCCCTTTCGTCGTGCGAGTCCGCCGAACCCGCTATTTGGCATTGGGGTTTGCGAGCTTGAGGTGCTCGCTGCTGCTGAAGTGCGGTTGTTCCATTCTAGGGACGGAGTTAGTGGTGCTTACCGGATGTATTGAAGTCTTGGGTTGGGGATTGCGGATTGCGGATTGAGGTTTGGGGGTTGGGGTTTGGTGTATGTATGCTTTTGTATACTAGCTATGTTTATGGGGGTCTTCTGTGCTAGCTCACCTTTTAGATCGGCGCCGGCGCAAAACGCACGTCCTTTTCCAGTTAGGATGCCCACGCGCATGCTGGGCTCTTCATCGAGCCATTCCCATACTGCATGCAGGTCTGCGTGGCCTTGGCCGTTTATGCAGTTTAGATCGCGGGGTCGGTTTAGCGTGACCAAGAGGATGTGGGGTGCCGGGTAAGTGAGGATTGCGTGGGCTGGGGTTGGGGGTTGGATTGTGAAAGGTGGCATATTGATTTCTTGGGCGTTTTGCCGGGAGGTTGGTTTTTATAGAGAGAGAGAGAGAGAGAGAGTAGAATGAAGATGGGATGGAGGGAATGATATAGAAAAATAGAGCCGATTGACGATAGTTGGGGGTTATTTGTAGATGCGGAGAAGCTATGCCGAGGACCGAGGAGTGTGGGGATGATTACTGTATGTATCTCCTTTTTTTGGAGAATGACTTTGGATGTGATATTTATCGACTATTTTCTTTAGATTACATAGAAAAAGGGTCTGTAGGTTACTGTTCATTGTACAATGCGAATTACAGGTGATATTCTACCTGTGACTTATGTTGACAAGTTCTGAGATCAACAAATCCGCCCATCTCCCAAGTTCCCTATCAACGCCCAAAAAAAGAAACGCCCCCGAAAAAAATCACAAGTAGATTTGGATATCAATAAGCTAAGAAGCGATTACAGCATATAATGGATCTGGCGCATCTACGCCTTATTGATCCAACCACTGTGTACCATGAAATCATAAATGCGGCTGGTTTTGGTGCCCTCGATCTAACCAAGTCAGCAAAGAATTCGCGTTTCAAGAGTCAAGTAATCAACATACCTTGCAAATCGTCCGTGCATCTTTCTTCTTCAGGTTGCCGCCCTGCTTCATTGCCTCCTTCAACAGCGTCTCCTTGATGACCAAATATGGCTTCGGCATTAGACGTAGAACATTGCATACCTCTGCCTCTTCCTTGGTCAGGAGGTGCAAGTCGGCAGCAGTCTCATTGTCCAGCTTCCACGGCGGTATCCCGCTTAGCGGCGGTACCACGTATTTCGTCTTTGTTGGCTGTGGGGGAGGCGCATCCCCATCGACGGCGAAGGCGCGATCGAAATCGTTCAATGGTTCTTCGGCAGGATCTGCCGGTGCGTGTGGATTGGCGGCCTTTTGCAGTCGTAGCGGCAGTTCAGGCGTTGTGAGCTGAATTGCTGCCGCTGGTGTCTCTGTCAGCTGTGCCTGCTTGGGGCGGGTGCTGGCAAAACGGTCAAATGACCCTTGAGGAAGCATTCGTTGCACGCGCTGTTGCTTATCTTGCTCGAACTTCTCGCCTGCTTTCAGGTCACCGATGCCCATCTGTCGCCATTCTTGGAGTTGGGAGATGGCTAGGCGGAGGTTGTGCTCGTATTCCAGACCCTTGTTGACGTCTTCAAAGTCCTTGCAATTCATCATCCGTGCTAGTGGCTTTGCTTTGTTCAACAAATCTCGCTCTTCCTTCGACCGTTTCTTATCTAAGGCGGTGTTCTTTCGGTATTCGAGGAGGTTGTGTTCGAAGAGGATCTTCTTGCGCTCTGTACGCGCTGTCAGGCGGGAGTTGTAGATATCAACCACGGTCATCTTGAGTTCTGTCTCTGCATCTGGCTCGCCGTTTTCATTGAGTCCAGCCCCGGGCTCGAAAGTCATGTGTTGCACCGCTTCTTCGGCATCGTTTAGGAACTCGGTCTCAAACTCCAATCGTCCCGGCATGTAGCCCTGCACTTCGTGACATGCAGGTACACTGGCAGTGGGTTTCTGCTTTGGTGTGGTTGGAGGCGCTGCCTTGGCTGCATCTTTGCGCTCTTCAATGCGACGCTTCTTGCGTGTTTGGAAGTCCTCTTTGGAGATTGAATCTTGTAAGCTCCTATCATCTGGATCGGCGAGGTCTGCGAGCGGGAAGTTTGCGCTTTTCACATATGTGTCGTAGTAGTGGTCTCGCACTTCATCCTTGCTTCGGTAGCCGCCAATGTGGTCTGCGATGTCCGCCCAGGAACCCAACCCATAGATTTCAGCGCCTTCCAGCAATAACAATTCTTCGTCGGCACCCCAATCCCCCCTGGAATATAGGGACTGAGTTTTGTTCGATCACTTGGAATGGATGTGTGGCAGGGTCATGGTTTTTGGAGTTCTTTCCGGCTGAGAAGCAGGGGACACAAAGGTCATATTCGGGGCAGGAAGGATGTGCACACGAGATGCGAACCTATGAGATGGGGTCGCATTAGTCTCTGAAGAAGATAAGAGATCTTCAAATGAGCATAATGCAATCAGGTTGAGACTTACTGTTGACGTAACATCAATAGAGCACACATCGCAGTGGAACTTGGTGCCGGCCTCGGTGCCGCGCGATGCGGTCTTCTTGCGTATCACACCCATTAGCCCTCCACCCCTTTCATCCTCCGATTTGTCGGGTACTGTATCGAAAGCAACAGACTCAGAAGTCTGAAAATACTAGACTTGTAGGTGACAAGTTGAGGTGTGATCTTCCGGGGTAGGTGTCTCCGCACTTCGGAGCGGGGAATATTCCGAAAGTTGAAAGAATAAGTAAATTGACACGGCTACAATACAAGCCGAATTTCCAACTCTCTCGTTTTGTGGAGTCAACTGCTTTGATTGTTAATGCCGTGGGGGAAGTTGATGCGTTGTTAACCCTTGTGGCGGAGCAGTGGCTGAGGCTGATTAATTACAGTACCTCAATATGACCCCGCTCTGACTAATTTAACCAATCAAACAGGTAATATATAGTAATCTATAGTAAACATCGTATTATAATTACAGGGGGAACTTCCCCTCTCTCATTCTCATTTGATCTTCGATCTCCCCGACTTCTTTTCTTCTCCTTAGTTGTGCTTCCATACGGATTTCGAAAGCTATAGTGGTGGTTGTCTCTATCTCGACTTCTTTCCTTTTGCGTGTGTATTATCTGTGTTGTGTGGCTTCTCTCAGGTTTATTTTGGGAGTCACATGTTGATTATTGGGTGATTCTTTAGCACCCTGCACACACGCATTGCGGTATCTTGGACTTTGATCTCTTCTTCTCGATCTTTTTTTCTTTACAACCGCCACTATGTCCTGGAAGCTCACTAAAAGTATGTTTACTGGCAGTTGGTCTCCCTCTCTCCCCCCTCCCCTCAATACCCCTCTCTGCATTTGCAGTGAAACGCCATAGGCATTCGCTAATTATACAACTCGACTTAAGAGTTGAAGGAGACGCATCTGGCACCCTTGACCTCATCATTTGGCCGGTCGTCCTCTACTTCGACGATCAAGGGTGACTCAAATGGCGACGAGGCCCTGACACCTGTGGCCTCTAACCCACCCTCCGCCACCCCATCAACGAACGGGATCGGTATGTTATTCTTATATTAATATTACTAGAAACCTTCTCGGTAACTAATCATTTCATCTCCTTTTGATAGCGGCCTCAGAGTCTCTTGTCTCCCCTCCTGTGGCGCCTGTGAACCCAGGAATCCTTATAGTGACTCTCCACGAAGGGCGCAATTTTTCGTTGTCCCCTCACTACCAACAGATCTTCAATTCGCACTTCCAAAACAACTCTTATGCGCCCTCTTCTCTACGCCCAAGCACTTCTTCTTCGTCACATTCAACTCAAAACCAAGCGGGTTCCTTTGTGCCATCTGGCCGACCGCAGTCCACAAGCGGGGGAATCAATGCCGCCCCCACTATCCACGGTCGCTATTCCACCAAATACCTCCCGTATGCCCTCCTTGATTTCGAAAAGAACCAGGTCTTCGTGGATGCCGTGTCGGGAACTCCAGAGAGCCCATTGTGGGCTGGCGACAATACAGCATTCAAGTTCGATGTGTCCCGGAAGACAGAGTTGAGTGTACAGCTGTATCTGCGCAACCCTACAGCCCGGCCTGGTGCCGGACGGAGTGAGGACATTTTCTTGGGCGCATGCAAGGTCAATCCTCGCTTCGAAGAGAGCCAGTCATATGTGGAGGATCCGAAACTCAGCAAGAAGGACAACCAGAAGGCCGCTGCAGCCTATTATGAGCAAGGGCGTCAACTGGGTCAGCAGGGTGCTGAGTGGTTGGATCTCCAATTTGGTGTTGGTTCGGTCAAGATTGGTATTTCCTTCGTGGAGAACAAGCAGCGGAGTCTTAAGTTAGAAGACTTTGATCTGCTCAAGGTTGTTGGCAAGGGTAGTTTCGGCAAGGTCATGCAGGTCATGTAAGTGGACTCAAGACTTACTTATTTTGCTTTCAAAATGCTAACACTCAGAAAATCACAGGAAGAAGGATACTGGTCGGATCTACGCCCTCAAGACAATTCGCAAGGCTCACATTATTTCGCGATCGGAAGTCACACACACACTTGCCGAGCGGTCGGTTCTTGCGCAGATCAACAATCCGTTTATTGTTCCGCTGAAATTCTCGTTCCAGTCGCCCGAGAAGTTGTACTTCGTGTTGGCGTTTGTGAACGGCGGAGAGTTGTTCCACCATTTGCAAAGGGAACAACGATTTGATATCAACAGAGCCCGTTTCTATACCGCAGAGTTGCTGTGCGCTCTCGAGTGTCTGCACGGCTTCAAGGTTATCTACCGAGATCTTAAGCCTGAGAACATTCTTCTCGATTACACTGGGCATATTGCCCTTTGTGATTTCGGTCTCTGCAAGCTGGATATGAAAGACGAGGACCGAACCAATAGTAAGATCTTCTTATCACCCATTATAAGCCCTACATAGCTAACCAAACTCAAGCGTTCTGTGGAACTCCCGAATATCTCGCTCCAGAACTTCTCCTCGGCAACGGCTACACCAAGACCGTGGACTGGTGGACTCTCGGTGTCTTGCTCTACGAGATGTTGACAGGCCTGCCTCCATTCTACGATGAAAATACCAACGAAATGTATCGCAAGATTTTGCAAGAGCCTCTGACCTTCCCCAGCAGCGATATTGTCCCCCCGCTGCGCGGGATCTTCTCAGTCGTCTGTTGGACCGTGACCCTGTGCGCCGCCTGGGTGCTAACGGCGCGGCGGAGATCAAGTCTCACCACTTCTTTGCCAACATTGACTGGCGCAAGCTTCTCCAGCGGAAGTACGAACCTAGCTTCCGACCAAATGTGGTATGTATTCTTTACCTCCGATCATGTATTAAACCAACAGGTAGCTAACTTGATTCAGGTGGATGCCCGTGATACCGAAAACTTCGATGTTGAATTCACCAGAGAAGCACCCCAGGACTCATATGTCGATGGCCCCGTCCTGTCGCAAACCATGCAGCAACAGTTCGAGGGATGGTCGTACAACCGACCCGTGGCTGGCCTCGGTGATGCAGGCGGCAGTGTTAAAGATCCGTCCTTCGGTAGCATTCCGGAGTAAGGTCTCTCACCTTGTCAGATTAGATCGAGAATGCCCGGTGCAAGTAAGAGAGAATAGGAGGTTCATAGAGACCATTTCCCTTTTTAACTGCGTATATGCCTTTCATTAACATATCGACCAATCTTGATCTTTTTCTTTTTCTTTCCCCCTTTGTTCTTGTTGTCTTCGTCATATTTATTGTTTGGTTTCCCATCACAAAGGAGTCTGTGGCATCTTGATATCGGAGTCGCTCCTGATCTTCGAGACGACATTGTTTCTTCTCGTTTTATACGGCCATTGAGCGCTTTGATTTGATTTTCTTGTCTTGTTCGGTCATCTCCCTTCCATCTCAAGTGTTCATCCTCTCCAGGCAGGTTCCTTTCTTACCCTTGGTTTCTTTGTTTTTCTCAAGCGGTCATCGTCTGCACCCTTGTTCTGTATTCTCGATAAAATTTTACAATTGGCAATGCCGAAACAGGTTTGCATTATACGTCTTTGATTATGTTCGTCACCGAGTAAGGTGGATCACGCCTCAGCGGGTTTAGATGCCAAGTAGTAAATTCAATTCATATAAACTGCAGCAACTGTTCCACGGAGTGGAGGGCTCTTGATTCTTGGTAGCTTGTGGGTACCCGCAGACAATGGCCCACCTAGGCGCTGTCTTGTATTCTTATTTTGACGTATATCATCATTAATGTAACTAAATATTGGGCCGATCCACCCTATAAACCACAGATGCGACGTTAAAGTAAGCCTCATACTCAACCTCCTCATCTCCATCCTGAACATCATAATGGTAATGACCTCCTTTGGGAGTCCCATTTACGCCAAAGCAGTGAGTATGCTCCATTCTTAACCCTAACCCTTCCGGGTCACTGCTGTGCATCACAGTCAAGCAGACTATAGGGGCCTGGAATATATGATATGACAGCCATTCCATTTCTAGCTGCTTGCGATCTCGAAATGGCAATTGATCTTCCGGGGGAAAGTCAGGCATGATGTGAAACTTGGCTTTTCCAGATTTCAAAAGAAAAACCCCACCAAGGCTGATTGGTTTGAAATCCCCATAGACCTTTTGCAAGCCATAACGTATACAGTCGGTGAAGTTCTCTTCTCCCTTCCGCGCCTTGGCATTGATTTTAAGAACTGGGCCAGTATCACCATCTGATCCGAAGAGGTTGACCATCAACGCGCAATTTGTGCTCGATGTGCGATCACAAACCGGGGTATGGTCTCGATCCCCTTGGGCCTTGATCACCCGTGTGCCATTGTCGAAGGTCAGCAAGGTTGGATCATCAAAGCTGGGTGCTTTTTCGTTTGATCTCCAAGATAGATTGGGCGCTAGCTCGGCATTTTGACCAATATCCTGGAATGGAGCGGCGCCTGCCCCAAGAAGAAAACCTGCCTTAGGGGACATTTCTATACCTTGGGCCAGAGAAACTAGCGAATATTTTGCATCGAGGATCGGTCTAGGGAAGAGATGTTGCTGTCCACCTATGTCGGCGATCCGAGGACTTCCGGAAAGCCCAGATGCAGCGAGGTTGAAAGGTGGCTGTTTAAGGTCCGGACACTCGGTAACTGTTGCGCTTGCAGTTTTAAAATTGGATAAGAGGGCTTTCTCAATAACAGCTGCAAGCTCGTCCAAGGGAGGGGGGTCTCGCAGATGCTTTGTCACGGCCATGTTGCTACACTTTTCAGGATTAACAAGATGAAATCTGTGCAAATTTCCGTTCTCGAAAATATGAAAGGACAAGATGTGCTAGCGCAAAGAGTAAGAATTTGAAAATGGTGACTCTCGTAGGTGAGGAGGTACGAAGGGGGATTGTTTGATGCCGGGATGTCTGGCTTTGGCCCGATCTCGGCCTGATAGGCCGCTAATAATGGCTACGGTCCATGAGGGCTCTAGATGGCTGAGTATCGAGGAGACATATTCATGTACTCTATTTTCAACTTTACGTTCACGTTCATGGAGTATAAGCCAGGTACATAGACACCAGGGAAAATCCGGTATAGTATACATGTACAATAATCTAGTAAATCAACCAAACCACTGGAAATAGAGGGAAACATATTGCTTGTATCTAGGCATGTAATTTGCTCCAGAGACACATGACAGCGCAATTACAAATAAGAAAATGAAAAAAAAAAAAAAAGTCGGACACACGTTAAGACGCCGCTCGCAATCAAGAATGAACTGACCGGTCAGCCAGAAAACAAACGATCAACCTAACTCTCCTAAAAAGTCACCAAACAGAACCCGGTGCTTTTTGCTCGTTTACTCGGCTTCGGCAGCATCAGCCTCGTCCACTGCAGCCTTCTCGGCTTTCTCTACCTCCTCATCCGCCTCGGGTGCACCATTGGTCGCACTCGCGGGCTCTTCATCATCGCCGTTGATATCAATCAAAGACTCTGAGGAAGGGGGCTCAGGGACGGCACCCTCCTTTTCTAGGCGAATGTACTCATCCCACTCGGGGAAGAGGTCGTCATCGGTAGAGGCGACATCGGGCGCACCGGGCGGGACACCAATGAGGCGGGCAACCTTGGCCTTGTTAGATTGCTCTAGAGATTCCTTCCATTGGACAACAAGTTTAGGGGCGCTCGAGGGCTTGTAGGTCTGGGCGAGGAGAACTGCCTCGGCGATGCGGTTCGTCTGGGTGAGGAGAGCGATGCAGCCGTCGATATCTCCTAGAGACCACAGAGTGGAGAAGGCGACGTTGTGGAGGCCAGACTCCGAGGCTTGGGCGGCCAGGGCCTTGAGGCCTTCACGGTTGTTGCTGGCAGTGTGCAACAGTAGCAAAGAACCTACATCCTTGGCGTTGGTGAAGCACTCCTGGGCCAGGGCAAGGTTCCAACCGGCCAAGGCAGCATCACCAACAATCTTCCACTTGTGCTCGACATTGGCCTCGCGGGCAATGGTGAGTGCGGTTTGAAGATCGCTCAGCGCAAGGGCCAGCTCGAAGCGGTGCTCGGGGTCCGTAGCGACTTCCAGGGCCATTTCCTTATATCCTTGGCCTTCGAGGAAGCGGGCGACCTTGTTCATCTGGTCTTGGGGCACATCCTTGAGGAGCTCAGATGCCATTTCCATATCCCCGCGCAGCACCACCGTTTGATATTCAACCATGCTGAGAGAAAGGCCGAAAGAGACGGCGTTGACGTCCTTGTCGGCAAGGTAGATGCGGCCATCCCGGGGCAGGTAGCCAAGAACATACATTGGTTGATCGAAGTGAGAGATTGTGTAGGTCTGGTCACCGACAAGGTAGTTCAGGCGATTCGTAGAGTTGGTGTAAATGAAGCAATCTCCAACCCACTGTCCAGTCCGGACGGTCTCGTTGATTGTAGCAACCAACTCAACAGCTGCCTCAACTCCATCCTCGTCGGCCTCACCGGCGTTCAGGCCGTTGATATACTCTTCGCGAGAGTAACGGAGAACGTAGAAATCATCTTCACAGGCAAGAGTAACCAGTTCACCAGATTCGGACCAGTAGACCTGTGCATATCAATTAGCATGATTTCGAAATACCTCGCCAGAACGAACAACTTACAGATTTCGGGTCAGCTTCGATTCTCCGAACCAGGCTGCCGGTCTCCCAATCAAAGAATCCAATACCACCTTGACCCTTCACACCCAGAAGAACACCATCAGACAGGCCTTCAGCTTGGAACCCAACATCAAGACTAGCGCTCTGCTCTTTGAAGTTCTTGAAAATCTTGACACTTGTGGATGACTCGCGGATGGCGTAGTCGTTGCTGTTGTCTTTCGAACCCCAGGCAAAATCGAGAGCCTGCCCAAAGGCCTTGTTTCTCCACGCCAATGCGGTGTAGATGATGTATTCTCCATCACCACAGACAGAAACGAAACGTCCATTGGGGGAGTGAGACAGGGTCTGCGGGTAAACCTCGCACTGTCCCAAATCCTTTGTTGGTAGAGAAAGGGGCTCGCCATCCTTGACAGTAGCATCGCCGCCCTTGATCACTGACGACACGACCTCACTGTGTCTCGCCCAGATAAGCTTACCAGAGCCATCCATTGAGACGGCGGGCTCTTCCCGACCCATCTTCACCACGACAGCACCATCGTCGAAACCCATCGCAATTCCCTGCCTACCCCGCTGGTAGGAAACACACCATGCTCGTTCTAGACCATAGCTTAATGACTGCTCCAGGCGGTAGGTGTTTGCGTGCCAAATTTTAATGGTTCCATCTTCAGAACCTGAAATGATCACAGGGAGTTCGGGGTGATAGCAAGCAAATGAGACATTGCTCGTGTGGCCCTCGAGGGTCGCAATGAGTGCCTTCGTGGTGTAGTCCCAAATCTTGACGGTCTTGTCGTCGGAGGTGGTGAGGAGGTATGGCTTATCAGCATGTGGGTAGTAGTCGACGTGGTTGACACCTTTCGTCTCGTGAGCTTCGAGCGTGAAGTTGGCATGGGGAGAGCCAAGGTTCCAGATCTTCACGGTCCGGTCCAAACATGCGGAGGCGAAAGTGTTGGTATCCTTCGGGTTGATCGCCATGCCCATAACATAGTGGCTGTGGCCCTCGAACACTTGCACACACTTCCAACCCTTCTCCCAGTCCCAAAGCTTAATTGTCATGTCATCGGAGGCTGTGAGCACGAACGGCTGGGTGGGGTGGACGGCAATAGAACGGATGTAATCCGGGTGTGCTTCAAAGGAGGTGATTTTTTCGGATGTGTTGTAATTGTAGACCCGGAGCTGGAAGTCATCTGAACCGCAGACAATCCAGTTCTTCCGCGCAATGAATCGACCGGCACGAACGGGGACATCGGTGAGTTCGAAGGTTTTGATGATAGACTAGAGGGCAAACAGTTTAGATAAGAGTATAGGGAGTGTGGATTTGTGGCGGATCTTACCTGCGATTCGTAAGACCAGATGTAGACATGACCTGGACAGGAAAGTAATTAGCGCATTGGACATCTCCCATACTGCCCCTCTCTTAGCATACCGCTATACAAGGTCGTCAAGATCTAAGAAAGAAATTAGTTTGAGTAAAGCTACCGAAAAGATTGTAAAGCTTACCCAGGGCTCTGTAGGGTGGAAATCAATCCCCTTTACCCGCTCGGAGCGGGCAAACAGCTGCCTCTGTAACATTTATTGTCAGCAATCGCTCCAATTCTGGATATCCACCTGCGAAATCATATCGTCATATCTGCTACAGAGCAGACCCGCAACTATATGAAGCATTTCATCATCTGCATTTGCGTACCTTGACGTCGAGCCGCATGTTGTGTGGGGGATGAGACGAGTGTGTGTGATGCGGTGTTGGGCCTGTGACAGCGATATGGGATTCCGCGAGCCGCTCAGACAGCCCGATGATAGGGAGGAGCGATCCTCGGAGCAAGTTATTAATTGGAGGAATTAAGAAAGGATTGAGATGAAGGAGAGCTAGAGGGAGAGCGCTTCATTCAGGGACAGCAATGTATGTGTCCACAAGGGATTCCCGCCTTGGCTCACCGCCTTCCAGTCGATCTATCCGCTATACAAATGTCCTACACATTCATTTGGATTGATGAAGGAAGCTAGGTAGATTTGCTATGTGAGACTATTGAAATATTAGATTGGTCCAGGGAAGTATTTGCAAAAAAGAGGAATGGAAATACTTTCGATATGCTTCCTGATACACAATCATCGTCGATATATAAACTTGAAATTGGAACTAGAAAACTGACGACCTTCTACCTATAATATATACTAGGAAGATGCCTCCATTGCACCAACCAATTCCCAAGAGAAATTTAACTTGTTCATATTTTTGCATTGATGGAATATACAAATTTTAGCCTAGTAGCTCTACAACCGACCCTAAACATCAGATGACTGAACTCTCAAAACATGTATTCGAACAAAGAGACCTCTAGTAGTAGTTACAGAGATTAAAATTCACAGCAATTCCAGAATCGCTGTTTAGTTGCCACGCTCGAAGTAGGTCCACTGGCCGGGTCGGGGCTTCTCCTCAAGCTCCTCCCACCTGTGAAAGTGTCAGTAGCAACTCCAGACCTCGAATTTGGGATTTCCACTTACACCTTGGCCTTGGCCAACTCATCTACAAGCTTGAGCTCTGCCTCTGCGACCTGAATGATCTCCTCAATAAGGCCGGCGCCGATTTGCTGTTCAACGTGAGAGATCCTTCGCAAGAGGTTAGCGTTCCATTGTCTGACTGTTATAGGCCGATTCGGAGATGTAGGTACACATACTGGTCGGCATCAAGGGCAGGCTCGCTCTCCCATTTCATATCTTGGTGGTAGAAGTCATGTTCGGCCTTGTCAGTGGTCTCACTGGCCTCGTTCATGATTTTAGCCCATTCCGCCTCTTGTTGCGGGGTACGGTGGGGACCCTCGGTCGTGGCCGAGAGGCCTTCACCATCCCATTCTTCACCACGGACGTTGTCGGATCCATCCTTCTGTTGGGCAGCAGCATGGGTGTAGGAGCCGTCGGCGCGCTGGACCTTGGCGAACCGCTCGGGTTCGGATCCCACGGCCTTCCGCACACGCTCCAACCAGGCATCGAATCCGGCGGGCTTTTGCGATTCAATGACCTGGAGACGGTGGCGGGTCAAAGCTTCAACCGATTGGCGGTAGGCGGAGGATTCGGGGAACGCCTGCAACTTCTGCAGAGTAGTCGAGTAAAGGTAAATTAAAGTAGGGCGAGGGCTGGGGTGGGTGAAAAGGCCCGTCAATCCGGTAGGAGCAAAAGGCTCCAAATACCGGGGCTTGACATTGGCCAGTAGCCGAAGTGTAGAGCGCATTGTGAATGAGTTTGGTGGTATTGAAGCCGCTATGTTCCAGGGAGATGAAGTGTTGAAGTCGGCCCGGATCGGATTAACCTTATGTTCCACCCAAACGGCAAGGGGAAAGGCACCAACTTACCTTTTCCCGATACCATCAAAGCCTCACATCCGGTTCTTTGTTTGGGCTGTGTGCAGTTCTATTTTGCTCTCAGCTACTGGGCGCTATAGTCGCTAAGTGCTGTTTTTTTCTGCGACGTGACCAGTGCCCACCCGAGTCGCCAGTCTTCGCCCCCGTCCAATGTGCCACCTGTAACATTTCGCGATTATCCTCCCTACTTCGACCAGAGTCCTTCGTTTTGCTCAGCTGTGACACATCTTGGAAACTACTTATACTCTCCTTTAAACTGTTACTCAAGTTATTCATCTTTTTTCTTCCACCAAAATGAAACCATCCTGGCTGGGGTGGTCCCTCCTCTCACTGTTGGTAGCGCCTGCTTTGGGCACGCCTTCAGATGCTTCCTCCGACCAAGAACCCGGAGATACACTTGTTAAGAGAGGGGGCCGTGGGGTGGATCCCGACACACCCACAATATTCAATGATATTGAAGTGCCCCCCGTTGACGCAGCTGACCCCGGAGAATTTCGAGGAAGTGACAAAAGATGGTTACTGGTGAGGATCCCTTATGCAGGCACCAAGAAACCCCTCGAGACTCTAACTATCATAGGATGATCAAACATTATTCCCCCTCTTGCCCGCATTGCCGGACGGCCGCTCCAATGTACCAGACTCTATATGAGTACTACTACGTGAGTATTTATTCCATTGTTCTGAACCTTTTGAGGCTTCGATCTGATCAGTGATAGACCTCAAACCCCTTATTCCTCTCCGGATTGAAGCCCGATGCGCTCGCCTCCCTGGACTCATTCACTGGCTACTACAATCTCCATTTCGGATCCGTAAACTGCCTGGCCTTCGGCGATTTCTGCAAAAAGATGAACGTCGAGTTTTTCCCTGCCTGGGCGTTCTATGATATGGGCGTTCAGAACGGACCCCCCGTTGGTGCCAAGACGATGTCAGAGATTGGTGCTTTGATTGAAGCTAAGCTCGAGACGATTAAGCCTGGGTCACGACCTTCCCAAGGCGTCCAAATCCCGAAAGTCGGCGCTAAGAGCATGGAAATGACCGCCAAACCTGAAGTTGTAAAGCCTGGCGCGAAAACAGCTGTCGAGAAGCAGAGCATCGAGACCGCGGAACTGGAAGGCGTTAGCCCTGAATCTGTCAAGGCCAAGCTCCAAGGACGGCCTGCTAATCCCCAGGGTGTTTCTATCCCACTCACCGCGGAGAGTTTCCAAAGTCTTGTCACGACTACCCATGACCCCTGGATCATTAAATTTTATGTTCCTTGGTGCCATCATTGCCAGGCTTTAGCCCCCAACTGGAACTCGATGGCTAAGGAGATGAAGGATAATCTCAATGTTGGCGAAGTGAACTGCGAAATTGAGAAGCGACTGTGTGAAGATGCTCGCGTGAATGCCTACCCGACGATCTACTTCTTCCGTGGCGGCGAGCGAGTTGAATATACCGGTCTTCGTGGCTTGGGAGATCTGATCGCGTACACCAACAAGGCTGTTGGTGTAGGCTCGAGCATCCAGGATGTTGACGCGACTACTTTCAAGGAGTTGGAAAAAACCGAAGAGGTCTTGTTCCTGTATCTTTACGATCACGCGACCACATCTGAAGATTTTGACGCGATGAACCGCCTCACCCTTAGTCTTGTGGGACACGCTCGCATTGTTAAGTCCGACAGTGCTGCTCTTTCCGAGAGGTTCAAGATCTCTACCTGGCCTCGCCTTCTGGTTGTCCGTGACGGACGTCCCAATTACTACAATGCCCTTGCTCCTAGGGACATGAGAGATTTCCGTCAGATCCTGTCATGGATGCAAACTGTGTGGTTGCCCATTGTACCTGAGCTTACCGCATCTAATGCTCAAGAAATCATGGACGGAAAGTTCGTGGTTCTGGGACTCCTCAGCCGTCGCCGTAGCGACGACTTCAAGCAGTCCAAGCGCGAGCTGAAGGAAGCCGCCCTTGAATGGATGGATAAGCAGGTCCAACTGTTCCGCCTTGAGCGAGCCGAACTTCGTGATTCCAAGCAACTGCGTATCGAAGAAGCCGATGACCGCAATGATCAGCGAGCACTGCGGGCTGCGAAAAACATGCGTATTACGATCCGCGAGGATGACAAGAAGCAAGTCGCATTTGCTTGGGCCGATGGTGACTTTTGGGAGCGTTGGCTACGCACAACCTACGGCATCGATGTGGAAGCTGGTGACCGCGTTATTATCAATGACCAAGATGTAAGTCTTCCCTCGTGGGATTTGTTCGAGCACTATAACTGACTTCCTATAGAACCGCCGCTACTGGGATACTGCTTCAAGTGGAGCTCCAATCATGGCATCGCGTACCTCCATTCTCGAGACCATCCCTCTCGTGGTCGCTTCCCCTTCGAAGTTGTCACCCAAATCTACCATCGGCACCTTTGAGACTATCTTATTCTTCGCTCGATCCCTGCTCGGCAGCCATCCCATCCTCTTTTTCATCATCCTGGGTGCCGTCATTGCTGTAGCCACCATCTTCGGACGTGGACGCCTTAGACGTGGTGCTGCGCGCGGCGGTATTATTGGCAACACCACCAACAACAACGGTGGCTTCTTCCACCTTGATGGCAAGGAGGGTTTCCTCAATGGAGGCTCGACTGACAAAGTCGACTAATGAGACAAATGTACAGTTAGGGTGTTTGGCTACGTGGTTCTTATAATCTTTTGTTTCCACTGTATTTGATTGATTCTGCTTTCCTTCCGTGTGTCTGTTCGATCAATCCTGTCTCAGTTGAATTTCTTGCATGTCAGACCGAGGGGTTTTTTTGAAGCACATATCTTATTCCATTTCTTTTCAGCCTTCACGCGAACCTTTGGAGTCTAGGCGTATCAGCTTCTCGGGAGCCGCAAGGCTTCCTAGTACTAAGTCAATGAACGCATTAATTGCTTTTAATTTCTCCGATTAAAAAGTAGTCATGGTTACTTCAAGTGCCTTTCCTTTTGCTATCCGTTTTGGGATTTTTTTCAGTGCGATCTTCCAGGTGTGATGTTTGATTTCTTTCAATTCCCAACCGGAGCATAGAGAACAGAGGATTGAAGACAAAAAATGAATTCATTTTCAGCTGGACTCCAAATAAAACTTCCCCGTCATTTCATACTTGAACGAAAACAATTACGCCAACTCTGATTGGCTACTCGCTCTTGAGTCACGTGCCAGCTCGGGCACTCCCGGTTTTCGTCGACCACCAAGTGCCAGCTCCTGTCTCCTAGCAATTGTCCCACCAAATCACTCCGGTGTAATTCAAGATGGTAAGTGCTCTCATACCCAAAAGATGAGAAAACCTCGCATATTGGTCCGAAGTTCCTTGCCTACTCAGCCGCGCTCCGGGTAGAGGACAATCGGGCCATGAGTATCACAACCGGCTTCCGAACCGCGGGATGAGACGAGATAGAAGATGTCAAGTCAATTGCTAACACATATCCTACAGTTCGCCCCTACTGCTCGCCGCGCCGCGGCCCAGGCCTCCGCCTATGCGCCCAAGTGAGATCCCCCATATCATTTCCCCTCGAACCCTGGACAGTACACATTGGTCGAGAATCAGCATGTTGGATGGAGCGAATGAAGCATGGACTTGCACTGGCGACCGCTGCTTTCCTAGTTGATTGGATTCCTGTCTTTCCCCTCTTGCCTCAGAGCTCGACGGGTGTCTGACATCGGGGAGCGGGGATTACCAGACCGTAGCAAAAGAGCTGGATATCGAAGGCAGATTAAACAAGCAACGAGAACACTAAGCTAATGCATCGCTAATCTGCAGGTACTACATCCCCCGCACCGCCGCCGGTATGACCCTTGGCACAGCCATCCAGCTGTGAGTACATCCCGCATTCCACACTCTCAGGTTAGACCAGACCCAGATGCTAACAACATTCTAAACAGTGGTTCCGTCGCTGCTGGCTTCGGTGTCGCCCTTGGTTCCGGTGCCCTCTTCCTCTTCGGCGAGGTTCCTCGTGTGCGCAACGATATCCTCCGCAAGCTTCCTTTCTTCGATACCTACTACGACCGCACCATCGCCCCCGAGGACAACGTGAGTCAACTACAGTTGATTTGGAGCTTTGGACTCGATGCTGACTTTTTCTAGCCCTTCTAAATTATTCGCCAGGGTATATACCTGTCTCCCTTGATCGATATGAATCGAGGCTTTCGGGGGTTAGGCTGGGGCTGTACTGTGTAGAATAGCGATGAAAGTCTTTTCTGTTTTTAATACCACATAGAAACAGTTGTTTCCAAGTAAATCTGTCCTTCATGGTGCCTATGTGTGATTGTACACTATCGATAAGCGACTTTCCCTTCCATCATACGGCTGAGAACCCTATACACCTAGCAGCAGTCCGCGAACCGAGCGTTTTTTTTTTCAACTTATTTGCGAGGACTGGATCATCTTGCGAATTCCACTAGGAACATCTCAGGTATGTCTCTTCCAACGTTCCATCGTCTCGTCTTTCGAGAGTGCTGGCGACTAGGCTCCGGTCTTCCCTCCTTGGGCTTCATGGAAAAATCTCGATGATGGTTTCTACGTGTCTGCTAACGATAGTCCCCGCTTGCCAAGTTCCGTGCACCTGTACAGAGCATGTTCAGCCATCCCCTTGGTGCTGAAACCATAGCTCGTACAAGTAAGGCCATTTCCGGGTACTACGCGAAGCAGTTCCATCATGCGTGTAATAACAACATATCTCGCCAGAATGGCGAGATGAGGATCAGGCCAATATTTCACAGGTTTGAGGGTGTTGTTCACCGCTTGGGAAGCCTTGATGTGGGATTGGGCTCACTTGTTTCATTTAGTGATCCTACGGATCCTGTCGACGCTATAGCCGCCAACCCAATACCTGGATCAATTGACTGCTTCTCGGGTATTCCTATGAATTGAGAACCGTACATTAATATTGAGAGGTCTGCTTGGTAAAGTTAGTGGGACCGGCCCAGGGAGGTCCAGGTAGCCAGTGCCCAGGTAGCTCGGTTAGCTACCACCCGGTTGCTTGAATCAAGTTTAAACAGGGCCCAAATCGGAATACATTCTCTGCTGAGCATATGGTCCGGTAAGCTCTGGTAGTTTGAGTGGGCATCGCTCGACTGCTTAAAGCTTTTGTCTTTGGTTTCTAATATCATAGATATAGCCCGGGAGTATAAAAAGAAAGGTCTACTTTTATATCCAAGATCTTTTAAACTGAAGCTGCTCTTACTTGGAAAATGAAAGGAACGTTTGTCCTAGATATGGATCGTTTAATTGGTAGAGCCTTTAGATTCTTTTTGCACCTTGGAGTTATATCACGTTTTCTTCATAGGATAGAGTGCCATAGAAAATAAGAATAGAAGGAATGCCGCCAACTGATAATATCAACGACCCTATAGAGGCTAATCCACTCTGGGTATAGTGCACCAGCGTTACCCACTGATTGAACACTAAGCGTCACCAAGTGTACTCCGTACCCCGATGCCAATCCCCAAGACTTGGAATGAGCACCTTGGCACTCACTCACTAGACATCAGTCACCCTGCATGTGACTGACCGGGGTATTCCCCCAAGTCTGAGCCCGTGACATCTACCCAGTGAGCCTAAGCCTCGCGCTTCATAAAAGAGGCGGCCCAGATAGGAAAATCCGCCAGGGAATAGCCGGAATATATAGTTGCACATACGGAGTACATAGAACAACCTTGGAAACAGAGGTTCTACAGTATTCAACTGAAAGTCACTTTTCCCAACAAGGCAGGTACAGCCTTAGATAACATGCAACTGATAATAGCAGGTCTGGGGGTTTCAGAACCTTAGACACCAGTCGAACCCTTATCTCTGTTATCACGATGATAACCACATCAGCTGCAACCTAACTTTCTCTCACGGCAGAAGTCCCTTGAAAACGCCTAGAGCTTCCCTAATGGGACTAGATTTCTCTCAACCAAGTTCGTGGCACCGATCGACGAAGCCCTATGCCTCCAATGAGCGGTGACATCTTCCGTCTCTACAAATCACAAGCTTGCGGAGTAAGACGATTCGCATACTTGAATAAGGTATCTGTTTATCCTGCGGTTCAATATATTCGTTTTAATTTATCAACAGCTATGGTCATTTACTCTTATCGCACCTCTTTGTAAGAAGTACATTGCGGAGAGAGCCTGGTTTCCATGAGGCGTTCCCCTCACTTGCCACTGGTCTTCGTTGCACAATGATTTCGAGTCGTCCGAACTCCGATATCTATTCTTCCAAGTTTGGTCTCGTTTTATTCCGACTCGTTTAGAAACCCATGTCTCGTTGGTTCTTGCGATCGCCAGTGCGCGGGGCGAAAGGCAAAATCCTCCGTGGGATGCATAGATAACATCATGCTCCCCCTGTCAGCTTGCTTTATAACTCCTAATCCTGGGTTATTTTATTATATTCCAATTTCCCTTGGCTCTTGCTTCAAGGTGGAAACATTGTTCGTCCCTTGTGTGGTTGTCATTTTATTTCGTTGATATATATATATATATATATCGCATAAATTAATAGCGGCTTGCCTGTTGATCTTGGTCATGGGCGCAAGCATGGAGACCAAAACTCTTGTGTCGGAAACCTCAAAAGGACACCACGAGGCTAACAATGCTCAAGTCACTTCTGTGCTCCCGGATGGCGATGTGCCATTTACGGATCATGATATGGATGCCGATGAGCGGGTGATCACGGCGCTGGGTTACAAGCAAGAGTTCAAGCGTGAGTTCTCGCTATGGACGACTTTCTGTGTCAGCTTTGCTGTTCTGGGGTTGTTACCGTCGTTTGCAAGTACACTGTACTATGGTGAGTACTCAAAAATTGATGCTTGTACAATTAGGTGTAGGGTATAGCTGACATTAATTGGATTAAAGGAATGGGATACGCCGGCACAGCGGGTATGGTCTGGGGCTGGATCATTGCGATGATATTCATTCAGTGCATTGCAATGTCGATGGCAGAGCTATGTTCGGCAATGCCGACTAGGTATGACACACTCCCCAACACATCCAAGAAGTTAGCGTTGAAGGAATGCTAATGATGTGTTATACAGCGGCGGACTATACTACGCCGCAGCAGTCCTCGCACCTCCAGGCTACGGACCCTTCGCCGCCTGGATCACCGGCTGGTCCAACTGGATCGGACAAGTAACCGCAGCGCCATCAGTCAACTACTCACTCAGCGCAATGATCCTCGCAGCAGTCTCAGTCTACAACCCATCTTACACTCCGACAGCATGGCAGACCTTTCTCCTGACAACGCTCATAATGATCCTGCAGGCCGGAATCAGCAGCATGTCCACGAAGCGCGTAGCGCAGTTCAACTCATGGGGCTCAACATTCAACTTCATCGCACTGATCACAGTCCTCATCATGATCCCCGCGGGGACAAAAAACAGCCCGAAATTCACACCCTCCAAACAAGTCTGGGGCGACATAACAAACTTAACCGACTTCCCTGACGGCGTCGCCGTACTCATGACCTTCGTCGGCGTGATCTGGACTATGTCTGGCTACGACTCGCCATTCCATTTGAGCGAGGAGTGCTCGAACGCGAACATTGCCTCGCCGCGCGCAATTGTGCTCACTTCCGGCGTGGGAGGGCTAATGGGCTGGTTCCTACAGCTGGTTGTTGCATACACGGTGCTGGATATCGAAGCTGTTATCGATTCCGATCTGGGACAACCCTGGGCGTCGTATTTGCTGCAAGTCATGCCTCAGAAGTCGGCTATGGCTATTTTGGCTTTGACGATTGTCTGTGGGTTTTCGATGGGTCAGGGGTGTATGGTTGCCGCGTCGCGGGTTACGTATGCCTATGCTCGTGACGACTGCTTTCCGTTCTCGGATTACTGGAAGCAGGTGCATCCGTATACGCAGACGCCCATTAATGCGGTTGTGTTAAACGCTATCCTCGGTATTTTGATGTGTCTTCTTATTCTGGCTGGGGACGTGGCGATTGGTGCTTTGTTCTCTATTGGCGCTATTGCGCAGTTCTTTGCTTTTGCGGTTCCTATCACTATTAGGGTGTTCTTTGTTGGTAATCGGTTCCGCAGGGGCCCCTGGCATCTGGGTCCTTTCGGTCCGGTCATTGGTGGCGTTGGTGTTGTGTTTGTGCTTTTTATGGTCCCGATTTTGTGTTTGCCTAGTGTTACTGGTAAAGACTTGACGCCGGATCAGATGAATTGGACTTGCCTTGTTTGGGGTGCACCAATGGTGGGTGTTACGATTTGGTGGTTTGTTGATGCCCATCGCTGGTTCAAAGGTCCTGTGGTCAATGTCGAGCATGCTATTCATGCGATTGAGCAGGAGCCAGTTGTTAGTGAGGGCATTGAGCCTGAGGCCCGAGAGGCCGAGACGACTGCTTTGTCCAAGACGGACGATCCAGATAACCCTATCTAGATCTCCAAGGTTGTAGAGAAGTCATTGTATTAGTTTAGGATTTAAGATTTGATATTTGTGTTGGCACTACATAACTTAATATTATACAACTTGTCAGACACTTTCTGGAGGCCTGTCGCATGTTATTACATTTCCAAGGTAGTATTTTCGTACGCCTTTATTTGATACCTTTAATATTCTAGTAGGAGCAGACAGACACCAGATACTATCAATGAAAGAAAGAGCCCTGGAACTCTGGATTCATTGTATGTAAGAACAAAATATCTCCATCTTGATGCAGCGACCTTTATCCGGAAAAAGCAGTAATGGCCGGAGATGAACCCACCCAGAAGAATGTAAGCATTCGCCACCTGCATGTCAGAAAGCACAACATAGATCTGGCTCCATAAATATGGATCGATCTGGCAGCGTCATATGGAGCCTGCCCCAGCGCCCCTCCTGGTCTGGTTTACGCTATGTGATATGACGGAGAGTATGGAGCACAAATCCACTGCTCCACCAGTTCCATATGGCTGAGATAAGGTTGACAGTATGGAAGTCGTATGACATTCTGCTGGGGTTGAAAACGAATCAGATTTTATCTCCTCTACGTATTCTATTAGAGAGGCGAAGAATAATTGGCTCTTTTGGATATATACAATATGCATTAGGGTTTGTCGTATACGGAATAGAGCACGTCATATTCCACCACAGAGATTTATGGGCATTCGTATCCAAAGAAAAAGCAAGAGCTTATGCACACAATGTATACACCGCAGAACAACCATGTAAATTGCTGATCGCCTCTTGGTCGCACTTTGTACACGGTACCTTCATGTGAAGGGAGAATCTACACCACTTGCCCTTCTAAAAGCAAACAAATCAATCAATGAG